CCATCTTAGGGCAGGGTGCGTGAGCGAGGCCGGTGCGAGGGGCGGGCGCGGGTGACCGCCTGTAGCGGGTGGCGGGAGCAGGAGGGGCTCTGTGGGGAAAGTGGGTAACGCCGTGCAGAGGCACTGCTCTGCCTGGTTTGCCTTTTTTTTTTTAATGACTAAAAAGCACTTTTTTAAAAGGTTTTTTAAAAAGAAATAGTAAATTAACCCAAGTTAATAAACACTAATAAACCCTGCTGGGATCCAGCTGGCTCCTCATAGGCATTTAATCTGAACTCCATAAAATGCCTCTGTTTGTTCTTTATCCACAGGTAAAACCTGTTAGTTAACGCCGAAACTGAGCTGCTGAATTCAGGCCCACCTGGGGGACAGTGCTTCACACCAGAGCCCTGAGAGCTCATGACTCATCACATGGATATAAAATCTAACATACGAGTTCCCAGTCTGAGCTGTAGTTCATGAAAGTGAGTCCCAGAAGCCAGATTTGTGAAAATACCTCATTCCATCCATCAGGAATGACTGAGGGGCTGGTGTGGACACAGGTGTAGTGTGTTTACTGTCTGAAGCAAGGCTCGGGATTCAAATGCCCCGATCTTCAGAGTTAGAGTCGCTTATGTGAGCCCACTGAGCATTCCTCTGTTTCTGCTTAAGGGATATTCTGATAATCATCTATGAGTAATGGCGAGTTGACACAAATTACTAATTAACAACGATGGTTTGGAAAAAAAGTTGTGAGAACAGAGCAGCAGATGAGATACCCTTGCAGTTTTACAACAGTTTGTATTAAATTCACCTATATGGAAGCATGCAGGGTTTAGCATTTTATGCAGGCATTAGTTATGCTGAGCATTATTTATTCAGTTGTTTATGATGAAATAGTTGGATAAACAAAACAGCCAAATCCCCATCTTCTAGTCCGGGATGTGAGTGGGAACAAAGGAGGATGCTCCTGTCAGTGCATAGAACTTATACTCCTAAACGTGTTTTTCAGGACTGAACAACTCCTTTATTGGAATTTAATCTGCAAATAAATTATACTTCTATTAGAAAAAAATCTGCAATTTCATAAAAACTGAGGTGCTAGAAAAATCTGAAATTGAACAGTTTTGTCTTTGTCATGACAATTTAAGTAATGTAATATGTTTCAATAAAGAATCTGAAGATGCAGCTCTTTGATAGCATTGAGCAATAATGTATGGTACCCAGTATTAACCTAGGTATTACTGTGTGCTTATTCTTTCAAAATATTATATACTGACTTTGGTATTATGATGGAGGAAATATAATTTCAGTTTTAGTTTCATGACTGTGGTTCAGTAAGCACAGTGTTTCCTATTCATACAAACTATTATGGCTGTCTGCATTAGGTTTATATATATAACAGGTATATAAGATTTCAGATAATGTGTGTGGATTGCATGCAACACTATCATTTAATGCTATGAGGAGCACTTTCAATGCATAATATAAATAGTGGAGAACCTTCTTTGCTATATTTTTTTATTGTTTAGATTTAGTAAATGGAAAAACACCGTGCAAATGTAGTCTTGGTTAGTCACCAAGACATTTTTTTTTTTTTTATCCCTAGGGTAGAAGATACATGATCTTTAAAGCATGAGAAGAAAAGGTATAGAGTTTCATTTTTTTCACATTGTTTCCTTCTACATATGTGTAGATCGATGAAAATTTAGACCAAACAGGTCTCTGAAGCAATTAGAGCAAGCAAGAGCCAGCTTTCTTGGAGTATGGGATACACGGGTATGTGTGGGGATGTGTAAAAGAAGAGGTACACATTATGAATTATTATTAAAAAACTCACTTGGGATGCAGGAATTTGGGAACAACTAAGGAGTAGTCCCAACACACTATCCTCACAAATAAGGAGGGGAGGGGAATGAACTGCAAAATAAAAAAGGGTAGAGGGAGAGAAGCTGATTTCAAAGGACATTCCTTCCAGGTTTCCAAACGTTCCTCTGTGTATCTCATGGGTATCTCATGCAGCGTTTGAGGGTGCTGCCTTTCTCATAGCTTCTTCAGGATGCATAAAAAGCTAGATTGTAGCTAAAGCTTTTTTGCAGTGGTCTTCTCATTGTAAAACAACCAGCAATGTCTTTGCTATTAAGTTTAAGTTTATTGCATAAGGCATAACTCTTAAGAACTTATCCTTAAGCCTAAATAGTTGATAGCATTCAAGTGAAAACATTTAAAAAACAAAAAGTAACCTTTTCACAGGTAAAACATAAGTGGCTTTGCATTTCCTCTTCATTGCAGCAGTACTTGTTAACAATGAAATAGTATATGCATTTTCTCATCCACACAGATTACCTCCCAAACCATTATTCGCTGAAGATAGATGTCACACCCAGGACATGGATGGTCTATCCAGCCGTTCAGAAAGGTTGTTTGTCTTTAACTTTTCATTTAACCATAAAACCATTTGACAAATATAAACTCATTATAGCAAGCAGAGCTGAATAGAGGTTTTTTTCTTAATAATTTTTCCTGAGTAATGTATCTGAGCTCATGCTGATACATGTCAGGAATAAAACCACTGTTAGAGCAGGCAGCATTTATGTTTCCATGGATGATACTTTTCTAACTTAGACTGAAATAGAATTGGGCCAAATACATCTTTTCTAATTCACACAATTAGTCTTACAACTTCAGTAGAGTACCTGAGTCAGGTGAACACTCTCACTTTTGCTCACTGATAATATGGTTGCTCTAGTCTGTTTTTGATGGGTTGTAGCCTCTTTTCCAGAAAAATATAAACAGTGGACTGAAAGTCATTTCATCATGAATAATATCTTTTAATAATTTTTGTGTCAACTGTAGAATTTGAGCTTCATATCCACATAAATTTCCTAGAGAATAACTTAATCTATATGTGAAAAATACACCACACAGAGTGCCCCCAAGAATAATGCAAGTGGGTAGTAAAACTGCAACAAATTCACTGAAATTGTCCCACTGTAGGTAACTGAAGAACGGGACACAAGATCATAGACTGTCTGATAGTGTCACTACAGAGTATGAGTCCTGATGTGCCAGTCCCTCTTAGTCTATAATGCTGTCCTAGACCTTCACTGTTCCTCATTCCTTTTCTCTGGTCATGTCTGCTTGTCTCCAACCAAAAGCCAAAAGGAAAAAAATATTTTAAGTGGTAAATATAGCAATAATAGGGGGAAGGGTAACAGATTAAAATAGCAATGTTCAAATTTAGAAGACAAAAGAAGGATAAAAATAAAGCATGAAAACTAGTATATTAGAATTGTAAATAACCTCCTAGGCCACTGAGTTCAGTCATTGCATACAGCCACAAAATTTCCATTCTCCAAAAAATTATTTCAGTATAATGGGAGGGATCCTCTAAGCAAGAAGGTTTTTTGACTAGGTAGGATCAAATGTTCTCATTGCACTGTCTTCATCAAATACATGAGCTCTAACTACGGCTGCATCATCAGACTATGTATGTAAATATCAATTTGTCCCTTTCATTTTCGAATTTTATGTACCTCTGCTGTATGTAGTGGAACTTGTATCTGGCTAGGAGCAAAGGAATAGTGAAGCTTTAAAACAGTCTTTGCATCTTCTGCTTGATGCTGTGGGAAGCTGGGGTGCCACATTTTAACATTTAACCTCTTTGACATATAGTTAAAGCTAAAACCTGAAAAGAAGTGCCCAAAACAGAGAAGACTTTAAATAATAACATACAGGAATAAAGAGAAAAAAGTAGTGAAGCAACCTACTTTATAAAGGTTTATAGAAGAGAGTCAATACCAAGGGGAGCAATAGTAACAGTAATGCTCCACCTTTTTGATGTCTAACCATTTGACTCTGTGTAAAAAGGAAACATTCAGGAATTAGCACATAAATTAATTGGCTGAAAGCAGTAGAAGTGATGTATCAATTTACAAGAGATGCACTGCTACCTTTTGCCAGCGGCCTACTGTATAATCCAGCAGACAGGGGACTTCAGGTTTCTCAGCAGAGATAGACTGTAGGTCTATAATACTCAGTTCCAACAACACTGAGAACCCTGATATTGTGGGTAGAAAGACAATTTTATTGAACTTCTGTCAGAGACAATATAGGACTGTGACTACAAAAAGAGTAAAGATCTGAGCTGGGGGATGCAGTGGAAGAAAACAACCTCTTAGAGGCTGGACCTCTTTGATAAGATGTGACTATATCCCCACAAAGGCTTTGAAGCCTTAAAAAAGTATAGACAATCTAAATTCAGGAAAGAAATGTCTAACACTGAAAAAAAAACCAAAAAACAAACACCCAAAACCAAAGAGTTACTTTAGGGAAAGGAATGGAAGTTAGAATAGCAGCAAAACAGTGATGTAATGAGAAGGCAGGTTCTGTCCTGTGTGTGCTAAGCAATTCATTCTATTATGCAGGAAAACATTCCAAAAAGAGATGGTGATCTATCAAATATGAAGCTGAATCTTGGCTAGTTCAATGATATTCTGTACATTTTATTTAAAAACATATTTAACAGCAAGCCATTATATTTAAAAACATATTTAACAGCAAGCTATCTAGAATATAAAGGGAAGTTCACAGATTAAGAGATTGCCCAGACAGTCAAATGTGGAACATCCATACCCAAGGGCACATGCCTACTGATAGGAATCTGTGAACTCTGTGTGTGCCATGCGGTGAAACTCTTTAACTATCTCACAACAGGACTGGAATACCCACGTGGAAGAATAAAGGCAAGATGTCGCTGCCTTAAGAGAAATTATTGGGATGCTGACAGAACAATCTTTGTTATGTAGGATTGTTTGTGTCCTGCACAGTATCTGCAAAGAGGTGAGACTTTTCCGGGAATGAAACCTTGATAGTGCTTGAGACTGTAGACAGCTGTAGCTTAAAAAAGCAGTGTTTGCCTTTACCAGAGGGAGGCTAGGCAAATTAGGAAACTTATAGTTGTTCAAATTCGCAGGTTATGAAATACTTTATAGCATCTCATCCCAACCTGTTACAGGGCTTGAAATTGTCTATTGTAATTAATTTATAAACCTGTAGGGTGAAAGGGCTACTAATATGTGAGGGGTAATCTTTTCCTGATTAATTTTATGGATTGTGGAGGGAGGGAGATTGATTTTTCTGCCGAATTAAGTATTGATTTAAAAGTAGCTTTTTATGCTACCTAGTTTGGGGTCATGGGGTACTATTTCAGTGGATTTTGTAGATTGCTTGCTGTGTTTTCCTTTTTCAATAAAATCTTTTGGCATGGATGCAGCTTTCACTTTCATTACAATTGGTTGGACAGTAGCAAGTGGTTCAGTGATCATGGAAGTTCATGAAAACCATAACCTTTCTGAACAGCCTGACAAAGAAGTGCAGCACTGTGTAAAAAATCTTATAGCAAAACCTGAATGCACCACTAGAGAAAACTGAACTGCCTAAACATAAAGCAGGGTAACAACAGTTACTACGGTGTTTGGTGCATATGCTCACTGTTTTGTTGTCTAGACCACGTATTTGGACACTTACAAGTATGTAACATAAAGAAGGATTTTTTCACCTTAGCTGGTGACAAGAGTAGTTCCATTTAATGGCGCAGTGCTGTCTGCAGTCACAACTGGAGGTAGACTGCATCATTGGCACTTTGAAATTATCTCAATGCCTTAATGAGACCTTGGAATATCACTTGTTTACAAAATGTAACTCGGGCTTGTACCTCGTACCAGGCAGAGATCTGGTATGTACTGTATGCTGTACAGGGGACATTATATGTGCTGATGTCAGACCCATAGACTATTCTGGGTTACTGAGTGTCCTGCATCAATTTGCTGTTCAACAATTTACCATCTCGCTGTCTCTCTGTACTGTTTATTCCCTTCCAGTTTACACCTGCTTCCTTTTCTTCAGACAGTATTTCAGTATTTCTTACTCTCTGTATTTTAGACATTAAGTCATTTGATTTTTACTTTCTCCTGCAGTGACATCATGTCATTAATTGGTGGACAGTGTCATCATCAAGCCCTGAATGGCTTGCAATGAGAGAATGTAAATCTCAAAGGTGAATTCTCCCCAAATGCTTCTATATAAAGAAGGACAAAATTTGGTTGGGGTTTTTTTTTCCATTTTTGATATGTTGTCTGGGCTTAGCTTTGAGACCAGCTGTGTGGAGGAGAATACCTACAAATGCAGCCATACAGATAAGGTTGTGGTGATTTATTTTTTAATCTGGTCCCTCTGAAATAGAAACTGCTGGTGAATAGCAATCGTCCTACACATAGTAGTGCTAAGGGGCGCTTCCAGGTGTCTCTTTTGCTAGCTAATCTATCAATTACCAGCTAATGTATCAATTGTTCAAAAACAAAAGTGTAGTGAAAATATAAGTTTCTGTAGTGGAAAAAGCAGGGTGTGAATATTTCTGGATGTCCCTTCAAATTACATGCAGGAAGCCTTTAGGAGCCTGATGAGAACATAAAATATATGTTCTGACCAAGAACTGACCATGCCCAGGGTGGACTGTAAATATTTTCCTGACCATATAGCCTAAATAGTTGACTAGAATTCCTACTACATTTACAAGCGTCACCTTCCCTACACAGAAGATGAGGATTGTAAATAAGCTGCTTTAGTATTTGCTGCTTGAATGGTGTTTGCAAATTCTGTGGAAATTCAAAGAGAAAATGGGAAGCCTGACAGAAAGCAAAGGCTGTATTCTCGTGGGACAGTATTTATATGAACAGATCAGTACGGAGGGTACAGACTCATGGTTGCTTTCTACATAGGTGTGTTTTCTTCAGTAAAAGAAGCCGTATCATTTACAGACTAAGGAACAACTTTATTTTGGTAAAACTTTTTTTAGCCTGTAAGCAGAATAACTCCAAAATGTTTTGCTTATGAAGATTGTTACAACCTGTAAAAAAAATACACTTTCAACTAATTTTATAAACTCATGGATATGGACAAACACAATCACACCTTCAAATCTTAAATGCATGGACACATATACACTGGAGGTTTTTCATGCTTCAAGAAATAATAATAGCAAGTTTTCTACTAGTAGAGCCAGGAGCAACCAAAAAGAACTTCCCTATGGCCTATGTTTTTAATAGCGTCTACAAAACTATGTAGGAATTACCATATTTTTAATTAATATGCATTTGTTAAACAGATCAAAATGAGAATGCAATAGCCATCAGCTTGGCTTTAGCAGAGCCTAAAAAATTCCTCTTTTGCATTCTGCATCAAAAAGGAAATTGGAATAAAATTTCTCCAAGCAACTGATAGTTCTAGTATCCATCTGATTTACTAAAGTAGCATTTGCAAGCTTAGCTGTTAAATTTAACACTAACAGGTATAGCTTCTGCTATGTATATTGTTTGTCCTTAACAAATATGTTTGGATGGTTTTGTTTCTCTAGGAAAGCTG